AAGAAAGAAACATTTAATTAAATATAATATTTATCATAATTTAATTTTTTCGGAATTAAATATTATTATTATTTGTATCTATTATTAATTTAATTATAAACTTATCAGGCATTAAATAAGAATGTGAAAATTTATTTTAGTTTATGATGTACATAAATATTATATACCGTCAACTAACCTCAAATTCTATAAACGTATTCAAAGGAATATGTAAAAACTATTATAATATACATATTATAATGTTATTTGAGAAAATATATATTTATGTGTTTTTAGATATATTTTATTCGGACTGATACAAAGCACCTGTGGTAGGTTCAGAAACAAATAAATAAATATTGTGAATACATTTGTCAGTTCTCACGCAAACATGCGTAGATGTCCTTTTTACTTTGTTGGTACCTTTTTTAGAAAAACTAAAATGTTGACTATAGCTAACTTCATCATGTCGGTTTTTCGTGACGGTGTGCGCGCGCATCGTAAAAATTTACCCTCATCATTTTTGCCTAACGCACCAAAAGAAGTATAACTTCAAAAAACTTACGTACGGAATCTTAAGAAACTGTGATCATCTAGGTTTATCGAATTGTGCTTAAAATTCTGATCCTGGCAAATTGCAACTCACTCAAAAAAAAAACAGTGTGTGTGTACTTTTGTACGCACGTTAGAAGTTATACTTCTTTGGCGTAACAAGATAAACATCTTTCTAAATATTTTATCTATCGCGTTATCCTACGTTTGTCGAAAAAACACTTATAATAGAAAAAAACGTATTTAATACATTGAAAGTTTTATTATAACGCATTATCTAATTTATTAAAATAAAGTTTATTTAAATATCATAAAAAAATTATTTCTACATTATTTAAGAAAATTTGGAAATCGGTTGACCGTGCAGGCCAACTCTAGAAATTCCTGCTAAGTTTGCATTTCAAGTACCGTAAAATGTGTTTTTTGATTAATATTTGAGCTTTTCAAGCTTAAAGCACAGTTTTTCACATTTTCAACAATTTATTAATCAACGATAACTTTTAAATGTGTTGTTCGATTTTCTTTGTTAAAAAAGCATTCGACGCAGTTTTTAAAGCACAATAAAAAAATGTACAGGTTTATATTGATTGATTGAGAGATCTTGAAGATATAAAAAAATACCGAAAAACAAAATTTTACGATTTTTTAAAGAACTATAACTTTTGAATGCGTTGTTCGATTTTTATTTTCAAAAAAGCATTCGACGCATTTTTTTAAGAACAAAAAATGTATACATAGCTGTGTTATGATTTTTTCGCACGCTTTGGAGTTATTTTTAAAAAACATAAGAATTGAATTTTTTTTTTTAATTTCTTCGGAATGGCTTGATGAATTAACTTTTAATTCTAATCAGATCTACGTTTTGATAGACCCTTTAGAATGATGTGTCGTAGAACTTAATCGGTTGATTCGTTTTTGAGAAACCGTACGACAAAAATTTATTGACACACACATACGGCCAGACACCTCGGCGGGAATAATCAGAATGGCTTCCTAGGACCTTAAAACGTGGACATCCGATGAAAACTCGATTTTTGAAAATCGGACCGAAATCAATAACTTTCCATTATTCAAAATTTTTAATTATCTTAGCGGGAAGTTAAAAATATATACTTATATGAAATATTGTAAATACAGTTGCCAGTTTTCACGCAAACATACGTCGATGTACTTATTTTTATTTTTTTGGTAACTTTTTCTTAAAAAACTAAAATGTTGAGTAGCTAACATCATTTTTGCCTAACGCGCCAAAAGAAGTATAACTTCAAAAAGTTCTTTCTTCTCCCGATTTATTTACCCCAGCACTTGAGAATGAAGCTATCCAGCATAGCAACCTTTTTTTTACCAAAATTTTGAAATTGATGTGTAAGGAACAGGACGACATTTAAGTAAGACCAAATGAAATCAAGATCTGTATCTGCTTGCTCTGTACGGAGAAAAAAAATTAGGAAATCGGTTGACCCTGAAGGCCATCCCTGCAACTTCTCGCTCATTCTATACTTGAGCGCTCCAAATTGCACTTATTACGTATTTATGCTCTTCGAGCTCAAAACTATAATTTCCGTGTCATTTTGAGCTTTCTGAGCTCACAAGTGTGATAGAAGTTTTTGAAATACTATTTTGTGAATTTTTAAACCGCGATAACTATTCAAAGAATAAAACGATTTTCACGTTGCTTGCAACAGTCAACGCAGTTTTTAAAGTTTCATGAAGAATCTTTTAGTTTGAGTTGATCAAACTGGAAATTTCAAAGACATTCCGAAAAATAGTATATTACATGCCTAGGCCAGTAAAATAAGAAAAGTCTCAGATCACATGTAATTGTTGACCGAGGCGAAGCCGAGGTTGACAAACATGTGATTTGAGGCTTTACTTTTTACTGGCCAAGGTGTGTATACTATTTTTCTGCTCGACGTAGCCGGAATGTGGCAACTTTGTTTAGCGCAGCGGCCAGAAAGTTGCCACTTTCCGGCCGGAGGGCAGAAAACACTTTTTTCGGTTTTCATTCGACAACGATAACTCACGAAAAAATCGACCGATTTTTACGCAGTTGGCAGCATTCGACGTAATTTTTCAAAGTTTATGGTATACTTTTAAACACGAATTGATCAGACCGGAAATTTCGGTGTAATTAGGAAAAAAACACTTGTTTTCAATTTTCAAACAGAAAGACACAGCTGTCTACGCCAAGCCCTTCTGCAGCAAACGATAAGCCAGAACAGAAAAAGACAGCCCGGGACCACACCTGGAGCAAAGTTACTAGGCCAAAGAAGAAGAAAACAGCACAGGAGCCAGCGGCTTAATCTACTAAAGCCCATAACTAGCCAAATAAGGATGGCTTTAAGAAACCGATGAGGAAGAAGACAAGAACTAAGGCTGTTCTTGTCCAACCAGTAGGAGGCCCAACTTATGCAGATCTCCTGAAGGTAATCAAGGCAAAGGTAAACCCTGTCGAGACTGGCGTAGACATAAAGTCTGTTAAACGGTCGAAGCACGGAGACGTTCTCCTTGAAATGGCTCGAAAGATTAAAAACAGCAGTGCTTTTACCGACGCGGTAAAGTCAGCCACTGCTAATATTGGTACGGTCAAGACTCACACCAATAACAACGATCGAGATCCTCGACCTGGATGAAGTCTCTACAGAGGGTGAGGTCCGTGAAGCACTTAAACGTGACTTCACCAACAGCCTGGAGATCAAATGCGTGAATTTGACAAAACTTACACCACGAGGCAATCTGGCAGCCTTCTGCAAGGTAGACCAGGCTAGTTATAACTAGTGGTATGCCACAAGGCTTAATAATGGGGCCCAACCTATGGAACGTGGATTACGACGAGCTTCTTGAAATCTCGTTGCCAAAGCAAATAGAGCTAACAGGCTTTGCAAACGAAGTTGCGGCCACGATAACAGTAGACAGTGTAGAAAAGGCTAAATTACTGGTTCGGGAAACCATTGACGCTATTGAAACTTGGCTGGATAAACACCATCTCTATCTCGCCAAGCACAAAACCGAGATGATCATTCTGACACGTCAAAAATGGTTTCCAAGATTATTCACTGTAGACATGGGAGGAACAGAATTGACGTCAACAAGGGTCCTGCGCTATCTAGGTGTAATGATAGACGAGAAACTATCGTTTGCTAACACCTTGACAGTGCATGCAGGAAAGCCAGCAAGACGGTGTCTAGCCTAGCAATAATCATGACCAACACTATGATTGATTGATTGATTGATAGTTTATTTATGTCAAGGCACAGGCCAAATGGCAATATTAAACAAAAAAAGAAATTTTTACATAAAATAGAACAATAGATGAATAAATGTAAGTACAAAACTTAGTCTAATAAAAATTTGGTATATAGAATACAAAATATAAAATATAAAATACAAAATATAAAAGTCCAACAGATTCAACTAATAATTCCATAATATTAACTCTATCTTAAGCTTTTAACTAGTGGTCCTACAAAGTCTCTAGTAATCAATTTTTAATTTTAAACTTTAATTGTCCAGGTTTAATAAATATTCAAACACTATATTCTTAAACACTTCACTACTGCTTGAGTTCACGATTTTGCCAGGTAATTCATCCCACATACGGATCGTGGACACCAAAAATGAGCGCTCCATATAAGTAGTAGCAAAGTGAGGTAATTTGAAAAAAGAGTGTTTTTTCGCTGCTAACCTATTTGAGCGTCTAACACTATGAGACCAAGAACCAAAAAGAGAAGAGTTCTTCTAGAAGCAGTCCACTTGGTAATACTTTACGGAGCGTAGATATGGGCAGACATATTAAAGCAGAAGACTTACCGGTGGAAATGGCAGCAGTGAAGCGGTGAGGCGCTTTCAGGGTCGCCTGCGCCTACGGCAGGGTTTCCGAAGCGGCTATATTGGTCATTGCGGGAGCGGCGCCCATCGACCTACTAGCGTTCGAGAGAACAGAACTCTATGAAGCTAAAACAAGTGATGAAAACATAAAGGAGGCAAGAATGAGGATAAAGGCAGAAACACGGCAAGAGTAGCACAACCGATTTACATTGGGAGAGACGAGCATATGAACGGCGTGTCTGATTCCAAACATTAACAACTGTCTTTCTCGGAAGCACGGGGACATGGACTTCTTGCTCATCCCTATGCTATTGACGGGACACGGACAGTTTAACGTCTACCTCTTCAAGATTGGGCTGCATCGAACGCTGACGTGCAAATACTGCCCGGACCAGATTGACGACGCTGAACACACGTTCTTCGAGTGTGACTGTGGAAGAACTACAAAAGCAGCACCGAAGAAACTATTGGCACCACGCTCTCTCCATAGAGCTTGGTAACCTGCATTCTTAAAAAAGAAATTAACTGGTCAGCTGTCGCAGCCTACGCGCAGTGCCTTTTAAAAGAAAAAACTGCAGAATGGGACCAGTAACCAGAAAAAGACGTCGTGAGATGCAACACGGATTGGATTGAAGTAATGCTTACGCGGTTTCTCCAATATCCGGCTCTGCTATAACTTCCTCTAAATCTTCAGAGATTGCTGAAACATAATATTTTATTAATGTATATTAAATAATAAAATCAATTAAATATAATAAAAGGACATTTACTTGTATTTTGTGCTTCGTTTGCTTTTAAAGCATCCATAACGGATGGGGGCATGCAATCTCCTTCAAACCAGTAAAATTCTAATTTCCCATTTTGAAGGTCCCAACCATTCCTGGTTGGTGCCAAAGTACTTGGGAAACGTAAATGCGCATTCCGCCAAATGCTGGTAATATATTGAGTACGCAGCAGTTGTTGTTTTAATTCTGCCTTGCAGGGTGGCAAATTCGAAGCATCATAATTTTTAAATCGTTTTTCAAATGGTTCATCGGGATTATCTGCTTTGTAAGTTGAACAAAATTTTTCAAATCTAGCAGTATTAATATCTGCTAAATTTTTAAAACCATACATTTCGCAAACAAATTTTTCCGAAACCAAAAACTCTTCATTTCTACAGCCAGTTATATGAGCAGTTCCGAGATTTGTAAACGCATTTTGATAATCCTCGTTTTCCTTCAGAATTTTAAAAGGCTTTTTTTTCCTTTCTTGAAGAAAGAAGGATTATAGTCGCATCCCGTCATAGCATGAAATCCAGGTAAGCTCGTGCATACTTTTGGTCCTAATTCAATAGACAACTGCGATAAATTGAGTATTCTTTTTTTGTTGTTGTTTCCATACTCCATATAAATTGATAGACTATCACACTCCAAATGATCCATATTACCAAGCATAATAACTAGAACATCTGTATCACAAGATTTTATTAAAATATTTGTTGCAACGTCATTATCAATCTTACAGACATGGTGGACTATTTTCGTGTCAGCTTCTTCGTGATCGTCGCATGATAAATCATTATTCTCTTCCCTAATTACAACATTGCTTTCCACTTTGTAGGTGTAACATTTATCATAACTTAAGTTAATTATTGTTTCTCCGATAAGCGGAGCCATCTCTTGAGTAGCCCAATGATCAATTAAAAAAGTAACAAAAGCCTGCTTGAATTTAATGTTCTTCAACTCTTTATTAAAATCAACAGGGCGAACTTGCATCGGTCCGGTAATTTTAAAATCTAAGTCGTTCATTTCACAACGTAAAGTCCGTTCATAATCTTTAATAGATGGCGAAAAGTACTGATCAAAAATGATATCTACCCGTGGAGCACTAGTTGCTGTTATAGACTTCAAAATTTTTTTTGAGATGTTGCCAATTGTTGCAGGCATATCTCGCATGGTATGGAGTAGGAAGAAACCATCAACAATAACAATATCATACGTTTTCGGTATATTTCCTGGTCTATGGTCTTTCTCAAAAACTTGGACTATTGCCGATTTGTCAGTTTTACAAATTGTTCCGTCAAAATGGCATAGTGAAGAAGGAATGGGTATGATGGGATAAAACAATATTTTTTCAAAATCAGTACTGTAATCCATTGATATCCCCAACATTCTTCCAAACAAATCCCGCTGCACTCTTATTTCCTGGACAGTGTTACCACTAATTACCTTTTTCTTTGCAGTTTCTGCTGTAAAATTCAAAATCTTCACTCGTTGGATTGGTTTTTCAAATCTGTCTGGTGATTCTGAACATTCTGAAATAAATTTTTCCCGCAGGTCGTTACCAGCACTCTCCATGCCAATAAAAATTTTTGAACGTTTTCCGAAGCTGATTTTCCATTTGAAATATTGTGAAGGAAATTTTTGTCGAGGCTAGAATCAAATGGGTTCATAAATTTTGAAAATGAGCTGATAAAATTTTTTAACAATTTTGTATCTCTTTTAATGTTGTGTTTTTCAAGATCATTTGTAACATCCTGGCGTTTTTGAAGGCCTGTAACTTCATATGTATGTGATATAACACTAGATCGAATTTCATGGCTTTTACACCAACGTTGTCGAGCAGAGATTGAATTCGTAAAATTTATAATGCCAACTAATCTTTTAACAGCTTCAGCATTAATAGTCTGCTCCAGAGTTAAATCAATAGGATGTCTTGAGAAAGATTTGTCAGTCCTCTGAATTCCTAAATATCCTTTTTTCATAGCTTCACTAATTTCCGGATGAGTCTCGCCGATTTTCAATAAATTGTCATGATATTTCACTAACCACCTAGCGTAATTCGGCTGATTAAGTACAAAAAATAGATTTGCTATTTTAGGTAAAACATATTTGAATATTTCAAAATCTCCAGTCCTGATACTGCGATTTAACAAATAATAATAATTAATGAAATTTATATATGTTGTATAGAATTGAACTGTTTTACCGAACTCTCCATTTAAACAGGCTTCTCGGTGTGCAAAATATGAATTCATAAGCTCTGACATTTCTTGATTTTCCAATACTGCCGTAAGTGATAGTCTACCCTTGTTAAAATTAAGAAGTTCCGCACGCAAAACGTCTCCAATTATGATGTTTCTGTTTTCTGTTTTCTGTTTACGTACCACCTAGCCTCTCCATTGTTGACTTCACTGATTTCCTGGATCGACTAACTGAAGATGCGAAGCAATCCCTGATTAAAAATACTGATTGAAAAGAATTGTGAAGCGGTCGCTCCATGCAAACTGTATATTTATATGTACAAACAAAAGAATCGAAATTATTGAAAAGAATTGGAATTTCATAATTCTTAATTCTTTTCAATCAATTTTTTTAAACAGGGAATACTAACCAGTAGCGATAGCCGGAGACTTCAACTCCTGGGCAGTTGACTGGGGCAGCAAACATACAAACGCACGAGGGAAAGTACTACTGGAGGCCTTTACTACACAAGATGCAGTTTTGCTCAACAGTGGTGGTACGCCGACCTACACCACAGGTGACGCAAGCTCAATTGTAGACCTCACTTTTGTCAGTAATAGCCTTACTAGAGGCGACTGCAACTGGAAAGTGTTGGACATCTACACTGCCAGCGACCATCATGCGATATTCTGGGAAATATCAAGTGACCAGAACCCCAAGAGACCAGTCAAGCAGTCTAACATCGTTGGTTGGAAGGTAAAATCTTTTGGCCCAGAAGCATTACTAATAGCCCTCGATGGTGATCCGATCAACACTGGATGTGCAGAAGAACAGACTAAGGACCTGATGAGGAGAGTAACACATGCTTGTGATGCCTGTATGCCTCGTAAACGTGGCATAAATTCTAGACCTTCGGTGCATTGGTGGAACGACCACATCAGCGTCCTCCGTAAAGAGTGTCATAAGAAAAGAAGAATCTCTCAGCGCGGCTATCAACGGCCTAACTCAGTGGAGCTGATCGCAGAGTACAAGGAGGCGCACCGTGAACTGAATAAAGCCATCAAAGAGAGCAAAAGAAGATGCAGGAAAGAGCTTATATACGAGGTGGCTAAAGACGTGTGGGGTAGGCCTTATAAGGTGGTTATGACCCACCTGAAAAAACAACAAATGCCATCACCTACGAGTCCTCAACTTCTTCAGAAAATCGTCACTGCACTGTTTCTACAGCAACGCAACTTAGATTACCAGTTGGCGCTAGGCGAATTGGACGACATCTCACCTGTCACTGAAGGAGAACTGCTGGGGGCTTGTAACCGTGTAGGGAATAATAAAGCGCCGGGATTGGACGGAATCCCTAATTTAGTCTTGAAAACCATCATAAAGGCAGCTCCAACATTATTCCTAGACGCTTATAATGCATGCCTCAAGGAGGGGACTTTTCCTCGTAAGTGGAAACAGCAACGATTGGTACTGTTACCTAAAGGGAAGAAACCACCAGAAGAACCGTCATCTTACCGACCACTTTGCATGCTAGATACAGCGGGTAAGATATTTGAGCGCATAATTCATCAACGAATAAATGCAGTAGTCGACCCACTCCTGGCAGACAACCAGTATGGATTCCGGAAAGGACGATCAACCCTGGACGCGATCAATCTGGTTGTTAGCACGGCTAAAGAAGCGATCGCAGGAACCAGATGGAAGGGTGGCACAAAGAAGTATTGCCTGGTGGCGGCATTAGACATTAAAAACGCCTTCAATTCCGCCAACTGGAACTGCATCATGCAAGCTCTTCGAGAGAAAAACGTTTCAGAATACTTGTGTAGAATAGTGGCCAGCTATTTCACCGATAGAGTTCTTAAATACGATACGAAGAATGGTCCAAAAGAGTACGATATTACCGGAGGTGTACCCCAGGGCTCAGTACTTGGTCCACTGCTGCGGAATATCATGTACGATGGCCTATTGAGATTGAAATTGCCAAGAAGTGTAAAACTCGAAGCGTATGCAGACGACGTAGCCGTAGTAATCGTCGCTAAACACCTTGACGAGATTAACAACATGTTCGACATCACCTTCGAGCGAGTCCATCGGTGGATGAATACGGTAAACCTGCATCTGGCTACACACAAAACTGAGACAGTGCTTATATCCAGCAGAAAAGTGTTAGAGACCATCAAGCTGAAAGTCGGCGAACAAGAAATCACATCACAACCTTATATCCTATTTATGGGAGTGATGCTTGATGCCCGTCTCAACTTTAAACAGCAAGTGGAACACGTCAGTGCCAAAGCGTCAGAAGTGAGGGCTAGTCTCGCACGACTGATGCCGAACGTCGGAGGCCCAAAGCAGGGCAGGAGACTACTACTATCATCAGTTGTCACATCGGTGCTCACATATGGAATATCCATTTGGGCAGACGCGCTAAAGTTGCAAGAATCATGGAGAAAAGCTGGACCAGTATATCGACCTAGCGCTGTAAGACTAGCTAGTGCATTCCGCACGATATCAGAAGTAGCAGTGTGTGTCATTTCAGGAACTTTGCCGCTCAGAGGTCTAGCTGAGGAAAGACGGAACCTTTACCAACGAAAGAGGTCAACCACACTGAGCCCCGAAGAACTTAGAACAGAAGAACGGCAGCACAGCATCTCGCGATGGCAACTTGAGTGGGACGCCGCAGCAAAAGGAAGATGGACATACCGCCTCATACCAAAGATCGATGTTTGGCTGAACCGAAATCATGGCGAAGTCAACTATTATCTAACGCAGATGTTGTCTGGACATGGGTGCTTTCGAGAGTACCTGCACCGCTTTAAGCATGACGATTCTCCGGAGTGCCCGACTTGTCCAGGAGTTGTTGAGGACGCAGAGCACGTTTTCTTTGCGTGTCCACGTTTTGATCCTCAGCGAAATGAGTTAGAAAGGATCCGGAAACGGAGAATCCAACCAGAGACAATTGTAGAGACAATGTTGTCGAGTCAAACTGCTTGGAACGCTACAAACACTTTTGCCACAGAAGTCCTTACAGAGCTGCATTCCATTGAATGGAAAAGAGCGAATGACAGAAACTAGAAGGAAGAAATAACAACTTAGCCACCAGAAGGAAGAGCGGCAGCTAATTCCTCCCCCCGCAAAGAAATGCCTTACGGCGGTACCATGGGGGATCAGAGGATAGAAGAGAGAGGGGTTTAGGGTTTAGTGGGTAGGGGCGTCAGCGTCGAGTTTTAGTGTGACGCTGCGTCGAGTCGCCACATATCCAGGCCAACAACTATGCCTAGAATCCGTAAAAAGGATTCCCCCCCCCTAAGGAAAAAACACACACACACACACATACAGACATACGGACATCATCACAAAAATATTCAGGGAAGCTTCTTAGGACCTCTAAACGTCAAGATCTGATGAGAACTCGATTTTGAAAAACGTGGTAAAACCAATAACTTCCCGATTTTTGAAAATTTTCAAATTTCCTGTCGGGAAATGTTATTTAAATAGGAAATGGAAAATTAGGGACAGACATTTCTAAATATTAATATTAAGAGCTTCGCTTTGAACAGGCTTCTGTTCTCACCGTCATGCAAGTTTTCAGCCTATTTTTTTGTTGAAAAAAATAGTTGCTGCAAATTAACACACCCTAATATATATACGTATCTATGGATCATACAATAGTGAATTGTAGTAAAAAATAAAAAAGCTAGTAAAAAATAGTAAATTTTTAGACTGTAAAATTTATAACAAATTGTGTAACAAGAAGTAACAGGAATTGATTGTTCAACAACCGATACATAATTATTATTAATTTACTATAGGTATATGAAATTAGTGAATGTGTTAATCAAATTAAAATTGTTTATTCACAACGTAACAATAAAATAATGGTTTCTAATAACTGGTTTCATATAGTCGATATTAAATACCGTGAACGGTTTCATACCGTAGAGAATATTTCGGTAAAATGACCGATCTATACCGTCACGGTTACGGGCGAATAGACACTTCCATTAATAAATTAATTTCTCACGACTTATAAAGACCACGAGGTCTAGAACATTCCTCGGGTATAAACCCCCAAGAGGAATGCTCACAGCAATTAACGAATCAATCAATTAAATTAAATAATTATTATTAAGCGAATTATCAATAAACAATTGAATTATCCAAAATAAAATAATTAATGAGAAGTAGTAAATTTGACGAGCCGAGTATACGACCCCGCGGCTCATCGATATCAAAGTCTGAATTCCTGGTGTAATTTGTGCTTGAAGAAACTCTTTGATACCAATTAACTTCCTTCTTGGACATTTGGGTTGTCGTTGGTCTGAGCACTGCACTACTTCTAACTCACCGCCGCTGAGTGACTAGTCAAGTACACCCCAATACCCCCCACTTATGACTAGCCGGGTCCCGAAGACCGAGACGCGCCAGTGCTATGTCGCATTGTTTCCAACGCGTGATCGGTTTTACCGATCCAGGGTAAATTACTCTGTTACAAACTTTTTGAATCGTTATATCTCAAAAACGGTGGCTCTTAGGAAAAAAAGTATGAAGAAATTTTTTATAGATAATTACCTGATTTACAATTTTCTCTTAAGCTAATTTTACGATAAAACTTACCGTTTTGCTGAAAATCGCGAAAAAACCGTTTTTGCGACCTTTGACCCCGAGTGAATGTTTTTGCACATTTCGGATCGATGAGGAATTCTCACATTTCCTTTATAATAGTGCATTGAACATTCCTATAATTATTCAGCCAAGTCGGAATTTCTGTAACCTCAGTCCTATTTCTTAGTCTAATTTGACCGGACTATAACTAAATATTCCCGGACTTAATCTTCTTCTTCTTCTTCTTCTTATATAATAAGGGTGTTCCACCCCTCAATTTTTTTTTTTTTTCATTTTTTTGACAAATTTTTTTTTTTATTTTTTTATGATAAGATATTCAAAAATACATACAACCCTAAGTTTTTGCCCTTCTATCACCAACCCCTATTTTTTAATAATTATTTTAGTAATTTAATTAATTTTTAAAATTTTCCGCGCTTTTACTCTGGATACTCATTGGCCAGACTATATCGGTGTAACTACC